TTGCTGCTTTTACTTCAGAAACTTATCGTTCTTCTTCTGATTCTTCAAATTCTTCAATAAAACCTCATTTTCATCATCGACAGCAGCAATATCATCAATCTGAATCTGTAAATAATCCAAGTTCTCATAATTCTCACAGTTCTCATAATTCTCACAATATGCTCTCTCACCATTTAGTGAGACGATCTTCTTTTGATGTGGTTCAAACTCGTTACAACCCATATCCTTCAACTTCTCATCAATATACTCATCAACGTTTATTACCTTCTGTTGATCAGAGGCGTCACTCGGATTTATCGAGTTTCACTTCTTCACGTGGTTTGGGTCATGTTCATGATCATTCCTACCTTAACCATTCCCCTAATACTCATTATTCACCTTATGCTGATAGACCTTCATCTACTTCAGCTTATTCTGTTCATAGTCCTCCATCCTTTGGTGCTCATTCACCTAATAATATGATTCCAAATTCTCATTATCAACAGATTCATCACCATCATCATCTTGGTTCTCCTTATATTGATCATTCCAATCCTTCTAGTACTATGGTAAAAGCTAAACGTAAGAGAGCTAATGCCAATCAACTTAAAGTTCTTAATGATGTATTTGCCAGAACATTTTTCCCTTCTACTGAATTACGTATTCAATTGGGTAAAGAATTGGGTATGGCACCGAGAACCGTACAAATTTGGTTTCAAAATAAACGTCAAAGCTGGCGCAGTAAAACACGCGCCACTTCAAATTCATCAATTAAAGATGAAGATGGTCAAGTTGAAAATGATATGGTAAAAAAATCAACAAATTCTAGAAGATCAAGTAATTCGGGTTCTTCCTCTGACCTTGATGATGATGAACAAGAACGACGATCGATACCAGATTCACCACCTATGGAGACTCAATATCGTGATTATTTTTCATCAAAATCACAAATTAATAATAATAATAATAATAATGAAAACGCGAACAATTATAATAATTCATCACATCCATCCCCACAAAATCAAACTGGAGATTATTATCGTTCTAATGGACATATGACGGGATCTTCAAATTCCGGTGCCGCGAGTATCAGATCCCCTTCACCTCCATTACCACCACCTTCGTCAATGGCTCCATCGTTGCCGCCAATTTGCCAACCCCAAGTAAATAATTCACCGGCATACTCTCAACAGCCTTCAATTGGTGGTACTGAGCGACTTCCTACATTTGCGCAATCATTCGCGCATCCATTATATAATCATTCAACAAATAATAATTATGAATCTTTTACGAGATTACCTGCTCCCATATTAACCGCTCCTCGTCATCATGTGCCGCTATCCACCTTCGAATGAATCAGTTGTTAGCGGCGATATCTGAATTTTCTCTTATCGATGAATGTGTTTGTGTTAAGGTTGAAAAAAGAAAAAAGATTCATTTGTGATCCATGATCTTAAAACTAATGGTGAATTAAGAAAAGAAAAAAAATTTAAAACTTAAAAAATATACGATTACATTTTTGATCAATAATTTTTTTTTCTGTAATATTTTTGTAAATAGAGGCAATTCTGGTTGTTTTTTTTTTTTCTTTTTTGGTTTTTTTTTCTTTATATGTTTTTGTTTTTTTGGCGTTTTCGTGTTTAGGTTGGTGTGTGGTTGGTGTGTATTTTTTTTCTTGATATTTTTTTTTTTTTTAGTAACTCGATTTTATAATTTTTTTCTAAATGGTCGTTTCACAAATATTCAAATTATTCGTTGATGACCAATAACTTTCATTTTTTTCGACCGGTTTCGAATGAAATGGGATTTTTCTTGTACATTTTTTTTTTTCATTTCTAAAAAATCTAATCTCTTTCCAAGAAACCTACTCATCGTAGGTCACACAAACACAAACTTTAATTCGACGTAATTATTCATATTAAAATACAAATTTTTTAGTAATATTTTCCGAATTTATTATTTCTTTCCCTCGCTTCCCTTTACTAAATTACCTCACTCTAATAATTAACAAAAAAAAAAAAAAAAAAAAAACTTACTAATTTTTTTCTTATGCTATACTTTTTTTCTTTTCTCATTTGTAAACAAAAATGATTATAGTTACAATTTTTTATTATAAGCTTTTTTTTATACATTATAATTTTTTTACTAAAGAAAATTAGCTCAGAAAAAATCCAACACTTTTTTTTTTTTTTTTGCCGATCGATGTACGCGTTTGACAAAAAAAAAAAAAAAAAAAAGGATTTTCTTCGACGCTATAAAAAATAAATAAATAAAAAAGTTTTAAAACAAATGCTTAAATGATTGGTTCGTTTAAAAAATGGTGATTATTTTTTTCTTAAATAGATTTGATCTGGTAATTAATCAAAGAAAATATCGATATCGATATCGATCGATCGCAAATATCTTTACATAATTTGCCGATTTGTCTTCTTTTAATTTGCCGATTTGTCATCTTAATTTATGGAATTTTAAATATGTAAAACACGACTCGTCTACATACGTAAAATTGTTATAATTCTAAATTTATAATCCTATTCGATAATTTTTAACACGGTCATTTTAAAAAAGTATTACGTATTAACTTTAATATAATCCTAACTAAATTTGAATCTTAACACAAATATATCTATATGTATATATATGTAGTAATTTTCTATGTACGTACATATGTAAATACTTAGTCTAACCAAGCTAATAACTAATTAAATGTCATTTATAGACGTAAAATCAGGATGATGAAATGAAAATCTTTAATTAATGCTAATAAATGATAGTCTCACGATCAGCTTAATTCTCAATGTATACCATTTTAATCTCTTTTTAGACAATATTTAATATTAGATATCTATTAGATATTATAATCCTCTTTAGTTAGCCTCTAAAAAACTTATGTCCACGTGACAACCTTAATCGGAAAAGTATTCTATGTATACTGCAGTACTGTAAGTACTGTACTTACGTACGTACGAATCCTAGAAACCTGAACGTTTTATTGAAACTTGGAGATTATAGAAACTAACTTATAGAGGTCATGAATAATCTCAATCAAAGAAAAAAAAACTTGAAACTTATCTGGATAATCTCAAGTTTTTCATTTTAGATTATGCATGTTTCTGCGCGTTATAATAAACATTAAGCAAAAGTTATCTTAATTCATAATAAAAATTGTGGTAATAAGGACTTGCTTTGCATAGTAACAATATTAAAAATGCAACATAAACACGATTTTCTTTTTATGATTCTTTATGATTTTTTATAGGTTTCTCCTGATGACATATATGTTCTTTATAATGTGCATCAAAATATCTAATTATAATCTATATAAGAATTAACGTTAGAGTATCATTTTTATCACAAATGGGATAAAACTATTTCCGAGATCATATATACTCACCAGATTATGAATTAATTCTACCTTACCATATTTGATGATATGGTTTCGCGACTTAATATGCAAGTCGATTCGAAATGAAATTGCGCGTAGAAAAAAAAAAAATCAAACAAAATGTTACTTTAACGATATTCATTGTGGTAAATCAGTAATTTAAAAAAAATATTAACCATTAAAATATTAATGTATAAACTAAAAATGTTTAAGCTTTGTTTTCATCGATTGGTTGTACCAAAGTGGTAAAATACGAATAAAATTAAAGATTGGTTTTTTGATTTTTGGGATAAACTTTTTTTTATTAGTGTTATATGGATCTTACCGAGTCTTATTCAACAAAGTTTCATTTATACGTAGTCATTTTGCAATACACTGCATATACTGTATATTACCATCCATCGGTTTTATGTTTTGTTTTTTTTATTATTACATTAATTAAGCTTAGTGTGTCATTCCATAAATAACTTTTTATACTTTTCATATAACTGTAATAATAAAAACACAAGTTACGAAATAAAAACAATGGACAAAATTAGATTTATTAAAAACATAAAATACTGTGTTAATTTGGATCAAATATTAATGAGAACCCCTACTATAAACAAATTGAATAATAATCGATTTTATTAATGGGAGTCCCCCATACTATGTATTTGATCCATAATTTATAATATAAATTCTTGTTAAAAAAGTCTTTTTTTTTATATTGATGTACTTTCTAAAAATAAGTATCAAATAATCTTTTAGCAATATAATTTAATAATTATTTAATAAAAGGTAAATCTTTTTGGTACATCCTATTATAATTAAATTATGGAATCGTTTTTATAAAGATAAAGAGTGAGATTATAATTGTGATAGATAAAGCTAAAGCCTGTTGACGCTAAAATTTTATAAACATTTAAATTGTTTTAGAACCTCTTTTTGTTTGAATTAGATTTAAAATTAGGTTGAAATTAGAATTAGTTTTATTAATAAAAGTATGTGTGGATATTGAACTATAGAGCTTAGTAGGCCAATACAATGTATATTTGTTGTTACTTTTGATTTACTTTTAAAATTTTAATATTTGGTGCCTTTGCCTTGAAAATCACCTTATGTAACATTTTTCGATCGGGCTAATTTGAACAAAAACAGACTCGAACACCGGTTTGTATTTTTATGTAAATCGCATTGACCTTTATTGATTCGATAGTTTATTAATCAATCTATTGAATCAATAAAGGTCAAATGAGATTTACATATAAATGCAAACCAGTGGTTCGGTCTGTTTTTATTTGATCGGAAAATGTCATAAGATGATTTTCAATGCAAAGACACATTTAAATAAAAATTTTTTATTATACAATACAAAATTGTAAAAAATATAATTTACAGTATATTTCTTAAACAAACGAATATTTATAATTTACGGATCCTATCATTTTCCCGACAACCACTTTCCCGACAATGTCAAAATCCCGACATGTTAGCCCGCATTAGGTTAATGCTAGTGTTATTTCCGGTTACTTTTTGTCGGAAAGTGTTGTCATCTGGGGTGCTATATCTCAATAAATTAAGTAAAAAAACAGGGGTTAGGTGTATTGAGTAATAATGTTTAAACATCTAAAAAACCCTGTGTAATCTAAAATTTGAACTATTATATCTAATCTCTATTTTAGTATTAAACTGCACTTTAATTCTAAATTTTAATAAAAAATTAAAACTTATTATAAAATAAAAAAGAGTTATTAATAACTCTTGATATAAAGTATATATATTTTTTTAAAAAAAATTTTTTAATTTATTATATTTATATTATAATTATTATAAATATACTATATATAAATTGTAATTAGAATTAATAATTAAAATAAGACTTATTATTTCTTAAACTGTATTTTAAGCAAATTTGTTTAAAAAATTAAATTATATTTAATATTTTTAAATAAAAAATATATTTATAGCAGTTGTTATATATAATATTCATGTAGTTAACCAATAAAATTTGGAGTTAGAATTTAGATTATATAAATTTTTGTTTACTTTTATTGGCTATATTAAGTAATTATTACAAATAAAGTATATAATATTAGGGAAATTCTATTTTGACCCGGGTCAAAATGACCCCCTCCTAGAATTTAGGGTTAGCGCGGGCCAGAACTATGTTAATGCCAGCCGGGTTTTTGTATTAAAAAACCCTGGCCGGCATCAACATAATTCTGTCCCGCGCTAACTCTAAAATTTTGCTGAGGGTCATTTTGACCCGGGTCAAAATAAAATTTCCCTATAATATTATATTATAATTATATATATACTCTTTCTAATAATTACTTATTTCAAGTTTGTACTAAAATCTATTTAAAAAATTAGAATTAAAGCAAATAATATTTCCGATTTTATAACCAGCCAAATTTGCTATTAACATATATAAAATACTGAGAAGCAGATATATGCTTTTTCTTTAGCAAACTTTTTTATATAATTAGTATTTAAACCAAAAAGATATTTTAATAGCAAAACAGATTATATCAGACTTAAACTAGAAATATTTGAAACAAAAACAAAAAAATAACAAAAAAGATACTTTTAATTTAAATACTTATAATACAATATATTTTTTATTTTTTAATACTTTTAGCTATAATTATTAACAAAAAAAAATTAACAAACCTTTTTAAAAAATCAACATTGTTTATTACTTTTAAATTAGAAAACTATGATATATAATAATAACAAATATATAGAAATCCTAGTAGAAACAAATAATTTGTTTAGTAAGTTTTTTAATCCTTAAATTAAAATATTTTAATAATTATTAAACTAAATTTAATAAATTTTTTTATTTTAATTCTATAATTAAATATAATTAAAAAAAATTTTATTAAATTTAGTTTAATAGTTATTGAGATATTTTAGTTCAAAGTTAAAAAAATTTATTTAAAACAAATTATTTGATTTTTACTAGTACCTTTATATATAAAAAAA